TTTTCGAAAAAATCATGTTAGATCAAATGCAATCACATTTTAATAAATATAATATACTGCACTGTAAACAATTTGGTTTTACACGGGGTCGTTCAACAACCGATGCCGGCGTTGAACTTATACAACAAATTTTTGACGCCTGGGAGAACTCGCAGGACGCTCTAGGTGTGTTTTGCGACTTGTCCAAGGCTTTTGATTGCGTTTTTCATGAAACATTACTCAGGAAACTCCACCACTATGGATTTAGAGATACTGATCTGGATCTTATTGCGTCATACCTGATGGATAGGATTCAGAGGGTTGACATTAACGGCAATAAGTCTGCAGGTTCGCCGGTTAAAATGGGTGTTCCGCAGGGCTCAATCCTTGGTCCTTTCTTATTTTTAATTTATATTAATGACTTGCCTTACTACGTTAGAGATAAGCATGAGATAGTATTGTTCGCGGATGATACATCACTTTTATTTAAACTCAAACGTAAGGAAACAGTTATTGACGACGTGAACAGTTGTATCTCTAAGGTAGTCCACTGGTTTAATGTTAATAATTTATTACTAAATGAAGGAAAAACGAAATGTATGAAATTTGTATTACCTAATGTAAAACGGGTAAAAACCTGTGTGAATGTAAAGGATAGGAATATGGGCCTTGTAGACAACACAGTATTCGTAGGGATTACTTTAGATTCTAAGCTTCAATGGGACCCACATATTGATAAATTGTCAAATAGACTTAGTTCTGCGGCATATGCCGTAATGAAGATACGCCAGTTAACGGATGTAGATACGGCCAGATTAGTATACTTTAGTTATTTCCATAGTGTAATGTCGTACGGAATTTTATTGTGGGGAAACGCCGCCGACATTCAAACTATTTTTGTGCTGCAGAAGAGAGCTATTCGATCAATTTATAATCTTAAAGTTAAGGATTCCTTAAGAGATAGGTTTAAAGAATTTGGTATAATGACGGTCGCATCACAATACATTTACGAAAATTTATTACTTGTAAGAAAAAATATTAATTTGTTTCTTAAAAACAGTGATGTTCACACACTTAATACAAGAAACAAAAATAAACTAACTTTTCCTGCTACTAGGCTTCACAAAATCAATAATTCATTTAAAGGTCTTTGTGTTCGCTTTTACAATAAAGTCCCAAGCAATATCCAAGAGTTAAGCATAAATAAATTCAAAGATAGTATAAAAAAAGCACTTATTAAAAAAGCTTATTACAAAGTGTCTGATTATATTACAGACAAAAATGCTTGGGTTTGAACTGTTCCAATCATTCCAACAGGTGTTCTATATTAAATAAATCATGATTGTATTGACGTTGTAACAACATAATGATTTGTAAATATTGTTACATTATTCTTTTAATGTTGTGGACATTTTTTCGCTCGTTTTTCTCCGCAGCTAAAATATATGTCCAATAACGAGTGGTAGGGAAAAAAATGTTTGGACGATTCAAAAGTGTTGTACTATACATCCAATTTGAATAAAGATGTATTGATTGAGGCCATCGACAAGCGTGGCGAGTCGTTGGCTATCAGCCTTGACATTGCCAAGGCGTTCGACAGGGTCTGGCACAAAAGCCTTCTCTCCAAGCTTCCGGCATACAGTCTGCCAGCCCAGTTCTGTTCTTGGGTAGCTGACTTCCTGCATGAGCGTAGAATTCGTGTCCTTACGGATGGTAGCAGTTCGCGGTTCATGTCAGTGAATGCCGGCGTTCCCCAGGGCTCAGTCCTATCCCCCACTCTCTTTCTGCTGCATATCAATGACTTAATTCCTCTTGGGAATATTCATAGCTATGCAGACGACAGTACAGTGCATGCGGGGTATCACGGACTAGCAGCGGCTGGGCAGGCAGTAACCAAGGAGAAACGGGAAAATCTTGTCATTGAGCTCAATCAGGCTTTGGTTGAGTTCAATGCCAAGAAAACTCAGGCTTGCGCTTTCACGGCAAAAACATCGCCATTCCTTCCCCTTCCATCTCTTCAGGGCACAACACTACCGCTGCAGAGCAACATTTCCATGCTCGGTATGGAAGTTCGCTCAGACCTGAATCCAAAGGACTACATCGAAACCGTGATCAAAACAGCTTCACGCAAACTCGGAGTCCTGAACAAGGTGCGGTGTTTTTTCACGCCCGATCAACTGTGCTTGTTGTACAAAACGCAAGTGCGGTCCTGCGTGGAATATTGCTCGCACCTCTGGAATGGCTCCGCCAAGTACTTGCTCGATGCTTTGGATAGGTTACAGCGGCGCGCGATCCGCATCATAGGCGATGAGGAGGAGACTAAACACTTGAGCCTCTTCAATTACGCCGTGACGTGGCGTCACTAAGCGCGTTCCATCGTTTGTACCACGGTGAGTGTTCTGAGGAGTTATTCTCTCTTATCCCACCTTCCCCTTTCCTTCAGAGGACCACGCGCGCTGGCCAACGTTGTCACCGTTTTACTGTGGCCACAATTCCAACGCTAACAAGGAAATTGGGTGACTCATTTCTTTGTCGCACTATCCGTAAATGGAATGCTCTGCCCGCTCACGTGTTCCCTCCCCCTTACAACCTGGGATCCTTTAAAAGAGGCGTGAAGAAGCAACATGCAGGCCGGCAGGGTGAGGATGGCTGGTGTGGCAGGTAGAACTGCTGCAACAGCTATCTTCGCGTCTGGACTTCACCTTCACTTAACATCAGGTGGGGTGAAGTCATTTATCGGACCTATCTAGAAAAAAAAAAACTGAATAACTAGTTATGCTGAATGAAATTTAGTTACGGTGTTTGTTCTATTAATTAGAAGTATCAAAAGTTACCAACGGAACTATGCTCTCACTGTCCGTCCGTGCGTCCGTTTGTATGTCATGTCAGTGGACTGTGTTTCACGAACCATAATAAATGTACTGCCAAAAATATTTTACATTGTGCATTTCTTAAAAGTAAATTGCACATATTTGCAATATAATGTGACCAGTTGTTATTGTACTTAGGTGTTCGTATCGCACTTCGACAGTTTTTTTAGCATAAGATGCGTTTAGATTATTACAGTCTAGTAATCCAGCGCATCAATCTGGCCCAGTGCTGGACTGGATTATACGGTTCATATAATTCCAGTCTTTTAAAAATACTCGAACTGATAATCTATGGTTAAAAAAAAAGCAGTTCGAAAATTTACACTGTCAGGTATTCAATGCAGTACTGGAATGGCAGTCCACGCTATTCCAGTGGCGCTTGAATGGGTGAACTGGAAAGAAAAGTACACCATCAATCCAGTCACTATACTTGAGTAATCACTGGAATGGGAACACTAGTGCCGGTTCCCATTAATTCGGTAGCGTTCCAGCGCTATATTCAATTGCTGGACCGGAATCCCGTTCCAGTTCAGTCCAGAATGCTACTGGAATAATGTGAACTGGCCATTATGCTACCGCATACATTACTCGTTTTACTTTGTGGTAAAAGGGATGATGATTAATTATTTTTTCTTCGTTTATCAGGTTGATTGTCAAAAAGTATTGGATACGTATTTTTTCTTTTTTCACATAATATAAACATTGCAGAGATATATTGATTTGAAAAGTCGCATGACGTCACGTTTGAGTACACTTATAAGTGAAAATTCACTCAAAAGTGACGTCACTCCAAAACTTTGACGCGCTATAACTTTGTAATTTTTTGGTTGATTGCCCAAAGAAAATACGTGTCCATTCTTTTTTGATCATCTAACTGACGGACTAAACAGAATTTCGTTTACTGTACCTCGTCATCACCCCTAATAAACGTCAATATTCGTCAGAGAAAGTTTGTTACTGTGCGGTTTACTGTATTATTCATTATGCAAAGTTTCACGATATCAGATTTTGTTTTTCAAAAATCTCCAATATCCATTTTAGTATAAAAGGAAAGCAATTGACATGCTTCTTATCAATAAATCTTATGGCTAGATTTATAAGTAAGTAAGTGGCTGTAAATCAATTTATTGAAACGAAAGTAATGCAAATCGAACCATTAGAATGCTGTTTGTCATTTGAATAAATGTTACAATAATTAATTAATTTCAGTCAATATTGACTTTATGTCGTCGAGGTTGTTGACTTTAATACAATAAAATTACTTGAAATGATAAAAAATAATATAATAACAACGATGCGGAAACTTTGCTCTCGGCATTAATTAGCAGTCAAACCAAACTCTGTCATATTTATTTGATATATTTACTGTTAAAAATATAATTATGATGTTTCTTTTGATATATTAACTGTTAAAAATATAATTACACATAGGGGAATTAACGCTTCTTAAATTTATTATTCCGAAAGTTTTGTTACCTGGTTCATAATTTTGAAAAGTTTTGAGTTTCGGTGACGACACGATGACACATCAAAAGCTTAGTTTGAATGAGTTCCAACTTTCTGTGCGGCGAAAGTGACAGAAATTTATATATTTCAAATTTTTAATATACAGAACCAATATTAACTGAAATAAATAATATAAAGGGAATGTATCCGTTTAGTGAAAGTAAATGAAAGGATCAATGAATTAGACCTGCCAAAAGAAGTGAAAATGTCCATAAGAGTTATGCAGACTCCTAAATGTTTGTACTTACCATCCTAATTGTGTATTTTATTTAAAACAATCTACCCAATAATATTGGGTTTGAAATATAAATAAGGATCATAGCATATTTTGAAAAAAACTATGCTAATATACTAACTTTACTGTCCAAACGCTTAACTTTGTAAGTATTCGTTAAAGTTAAAGCCCCACTGTTGCTAAAATGATCCCCGAGTGTGTGCTTTAAAAAATGATATCTTACAATACTACTTATACTACAATACCACTTCACACATGACAGGTTGATTGTAAAGTTCGAAAATAAATGTATTGAACTGTTATAGAATGACATCTAGGGACGAAATACTAATTATGAACCTACTAAGTTCACTTTTTAATATTTGATCTTACTAACCACTAATAATAAAGCTACTTCTTTTGTTTCACAGGGAACTTCTATGCGGCGGAAATCGTGTCAGCGCTAGAGTACCTTCACGCGAGGAACATCGTATACAGAGACTTGAAGCCAGAGAATCTGTTACTAGCCAGGGATGGCCATATGAAGATCACCGATTTCGGATTCGCGAAAAAGTTAACAGACCGCACGTGGACACTGTGTGGCACACCAGAGTACCTCGCCCCGGAGATCATACAGAGCAAAGGACACAACAAGGCCGTCGATTGGTGGGCATTAGGTATGTAGTTGTACTGTCAAAGTGTTATGTACTTTATTTTGATGATCATTCTGCCATGTTATGAACTTTATACGATTTTAACTATAGCTTCAAAACCGTATAGTCTGGTATATATATATATATATATATATATATATTGTATTGAATGCCGGGGGCGTCTAGGCAAGGTATGGAATACTATAAATATTATTTTACATTTTATACTTTGCCTAGGTAATGTATACAATTCCTAGGGATTGTAAAGAGTACTTGTTGGCTATCCGGCAAAGTATAAAAATAAACAGATTTAGCCTGTATTTATCCTAACCCAACCTAAACCGGAACTGCGAGATCACCGTTTAGGTACTTCACCGCGTCTCCGCATCCAACAGCCTCCCAGCCTAGCCAGGGCTCCACGGCAGGGATCACCCGGGGTGTTTCGGGAGATCCCGCAGATGTGTGCAGGACTACCAACGCTAAGAACTAAGTGCGCGGCCTTTTGCCCACCGCACAGCTCCCTGTCCGCTACGGAAGGACTGCTTAGGCATTCCCTTCGCCGCGGCCCTCTCATGTGGGATAGATTTACAAGAGAGGGCTGCTGTCATATAGATAAATAAAACAAGGAAATGACGATGCGCTATCTTCTTTTACACACATTGCCGACTGCGCATTCAGCATTGTATTGAATACCTAGGCAAAGTATAAAATGAATAAATTTTCATATAATACCTTGACTTTTGGCATTCTATACATTGCCTACCTAGGTATTGTATAGAATGCCGAATTATACATGTAGGAAGGCCAAAGGGGAAGATCTTCCTCCGAGCTGGGTGGTGGTAGCTCGGGGGCCGCGGCCCGACTGATGTTGGTCGGGCATCATATATATGAACTGTTGGCTGCCAAATTTCACTTACGCGATGTAGGTTTCCTTGTGTTGTGAACGCAGCGCCGGTAGCGCCATCTCTTGAGGAGGCGAGTGATTATTTCCTTCATGTTAGTTATATGTGGGGCATATAGATGTCGCCGCCACATACAGATTGCCGGTAACATATACAGGGCGTCCCACAGCTACCTCACACGGAGGGAAAGTATATTAAATATTGAAGATAGGATATTTTACTGAAAGAAGACATCATTTTATTTTGAATAATAACTAAAACTACATTCACAGATTTTTAAAAATCTCCTGCTACAATTGAGAATCGAACTCGTGAAATTTCAAAAAAAAAAAAACATGACCTAACTTTGATAACCTTCGAAAGGGTTAATCATATGGATTTATTTTTTGCTAAATAACATAGCATTTTATATGAAAGAAAAGTAATTAAATTTAACATTTTATTTAAAATTATTTAACACAGACTAATATCGGATATGCCTCAAATTAAAAAAAGAAGTTGAGTTCATCATCGTTGACGTTTATCATCTGCTGCTTTCTGTAAGAGCATATCAAAACGTCCTAAATTTCTTAAAGTAGCCTCTAATATTTAAACACATATCGAGAAAGTACGTCTCTATCAGGATATCTTTCGCGGTACCACCGCAAAGCTATGTCTTTGTGGTTCATAAAGTAAGCTTCCATTAAATCAATTTTATTTTGATATGCCATTGTAAGTAAATTAACAAAAAAAATGCAAATAAACGAAAACGAAACTCACAGCAGACGCTTGAAAATTTATGTGTTCCATTTTCAAATTATTATTTTTACAAATTTCAGCCAATCGCATTGTAACTGTGAGTGCTAAAAGAAATGCATACGTACTACAGTTTGTAAATCATTTTATTATTTTTATCACGTAATAAGACATTCCTTTCATTTAAAATGCTATGTTATTTAGCAAAAAATAGTCCTTATGATTAACCCTTTCGATGATTATCATAAAATATGTTGTGTTTTATTTTTCGAAATTTCACGAGTTTGATTCCCAGTTGTAGCATGCGATTTTAAAAAAATCTGTGAATGCAGTTCCAGTTATTATTAAAAATAAAATGATGTCTTCTTTCAGTAAAATATCCTGTCTTCAATATTTAATATACTTTCCCTCCGTGTGAGGTAGCCGTGGGACGCCCTGTATATACCAAACTATATGAATTTGAACGTTTAGCACTTTCTTATTGGTTATTGATATTTATTCAAAAAATAATGGGGACTGTACCGTAGTACAATATTATGAAAAACAAGTCCAAGAATAACGTCTCATGTTTGAAGATGTCCTTCATTTTACAACTTAATCTAAATTTTGTATTTGTTGTGATAGCCGCTACAATAACCCGCAATCTGTGAAAACTTCAAGTGGATATTTCCGTTCAAGTGATAGGCAATAAGCTATTAGACAGTCAGATAGCGGAGGCATATTAATGGGGTTCCATTTATCACCTTTCATATATGAAACCCAGAACATTACCATTTATGTTAATGTAATAATCTGGAACAGTGAGGTAAAACTCTATCTTCGTTCTCAGTGTGTTTGCGCCTGGCACTTCAACTTTCGAACCAAGAATGTCTTAAGTTTTAAAAGTGACAAATATGGCATTGAGGAGGTGTACTGTATCCATTTTACTTCCGATAATCCTACAAGGGATTAAGAGAAATAATGAATTTTGAATGAAATATCTATCAAAAAAACAGAACACGATCAGTAATTAATTATTTCACGCAGTTTATTAGCTTAACAAAGCCATTTTTTTTCCAACACTCACACTAATTAGCCTAGGGCCTAGACCAAAGTAAGCACTGTAAGGCTTGTGTTATGGGATACTAGGGTAACGGATAGCATACATATACTGTACATATATAAGTATATTTATAAAGAAATACATTAAAACCACCATGACTGGAGTAAAAATGCTCGTATTCATCACACAAACATCTGCCCCCACCGGGATTCCAACCCGAGACCTCTCGAGTCGGCGACACCATGAAGCCAGGCGTACAAACCAATCGGCCACGGGGGTCGTAAAGCCATTGTCCTGTGAGATGTTAACTAGTCACGCCATTTCACCTTTGGCTTCATTAACGTTGAATAATCTCAAGGTGAGTGAAGTGTTTCATGTGTTGTGGCGTGCATTAGTTAAACGCCAAACAGCTTGGGTAAAGATAAACATCTAAAAGGTTCTGTGGCTCGTCAGCAAAAAAACTTGCGGCATATTTACCGTAGTAATTAATTTATGATATGCAATATGACGGCATAAATTATGTAACATTAGATATTGGTGAGGTAGGGTTTGCCCTAAAAACAATATGAATGATCCTTACAAGAATAAAACTAATTAAGAAGAATGATTGTGCTTGAAAATATGTACATTATGGTAAAAGGTGAAAAATGATGTGAATGTGAAAGTATGAATAACACTAAAAAGTGTTTACATAAAATGTTAGTAGTAAACGGATCGATTTATTCTAATGCGAAATTTCAACTCGGAAACCAATATATCTTTTTTAATGATAGATAATAGATATAAAAATACTGTTTTAGATGTTTTGATAATTGGCTAGACAAAATAATTTGTAGAAAATGCATTGCTGAATATTATACATTTAAATTAGATATAATTTATCAGTAAAACTTGTCCGTGTTATAAAGACTTAGGGTCGGTTCACACCGACACGCGACGCGACGTTACTGGAAGAAGCCAGTGATTTAGCGCTGCGCCGTGAAGCATCTCGAGGAGCAGCGCTGCGTGGAACAACATGTATTGCATTCCCACAGTGAAATGTGCATGTTTTCGTGTAGTAAACAAAATTATATTTTGAGTTTATCTATTAAAATTTCGTGTGTCGGTGTGAACTGAAACTTATTCTATTGCCACATAAATTTCAATACAATATAAATTTGAATCAACATACTTGCGTGAGACCGTTTGTATCTATCACAAAAAAGTCCACCGTAGGTGTACTAAAAACATCCAATCGCTTTCATTATAATAACAAATTGCAACTTTATCTCTATCTACTCGAAATCTGAAGAGAATGTTGACGGTTGTGTGTTTTGATTATCGTCGATTTAATGGCGATACGCTAATGTTGTGTATACGTTACAATTATTTACGACGACGTTGATGCATATCGCTGTCCTAATAGCCAATCAGTGCCACCTTACGACGCTACAAGACCGAAAGCTTGTTTGCTCGTCCTTATATTTATTTGGCCGGTATCTGGGCGCAATTATCCAGATGTTATAATTTTACGTTTCATTAGCCGCCACTCGCCGTGGCAGTAAACACGAATTATTATTAATTACTGCTCTTGGATTAGTCTAATAATGATAAAGAACATATTTAGATGTAGCGGAGAATGTATTCTTTAAATAAAACTTTAATAAGGAAACCTTATTCAGAGTTCCTATGGTATATATATGGTCACTGACACTGACAAGACTGACGCACGAAGACTGAAAAGGCACTGAATATGTCAATTTTCCGATGTGGAATAAGCTCGTTGAAAAGTGTTTTATTAAATCAGTGGCGTGCATGGAAACACAAGATACTAATATATACTTCTGTTCTATATGTTTAGGTAATCTTTGCTCCAATCTATGAACTAAACAGATGTTGGTAAATGTTGATTGATATTTTGTGCTCAGCGTTCAAGCAATAGTGATGATTTACTTTAAGCAGCAAAATGATTAACGAAAGAAAAAAAACTAAAAAAGTTTTAAGCAACTGCAATCTTTGTTGAATTGTTGGATTCAATCATTATGAGAAACTGCGAATGTTCCTTGTGTTGTGTTCCTTTTGTACCTTGTTAGGCGATTCTCAGGCTTAGGAGGCAACTGGCCTCTTGTCCGCGGTCTACATTACACAGGAGTAGGAACACTAGTGTATTGCGTTGCGGGGTAGCTAGCTGTTTTCGAAGTAGCACAGTTTCAAACTTAATCTATGCAGTTTATTAATTTCGAATGTGACCTGACCTAGAAAACCAGTAATAGTTATAGTGGATAGACAAGTCTGAATTTTTTGGAACTATTTATATGTATTTTCTACATCTACTTAACGAGTATAGTTGAACACTATTAACTTAAAAATACTTAAAATAGTTGGTCCTTGGATTTTGGAAACAAAGATAGCATTTTTTCTCTGTGGTTTAATTTTGATACATTTTTAACCGAAAATGTTGGATATTTTCACTTTGAATTGATTTCATTGGAAACTTTTTTTTTAATTTAAACTTTTGGAATGTTTAAATACATAAATCGGTGCATTGTATATCATAATGTGCGGTAAATTATTCTTGGGTTTTGAAAAAATCATCCAAACAAACGTTATCTTCACAATAACATTATTTCAGACAAAAACAGTAAGGACCTTGTTCAAAATCACATTTTCCTGATTTAAAAACATAAATGAAAATGGGTTTTTCTGCAACTTTATGTGTCGGAACACTTTATAGGCTGAGAAAATAATACCATCGATTACTGTTCTCCATATGCAATGAAGGGCAGAAACGTACTTAGTGAAATCGATAATAATTACAGTTTAATCTCATCTTTAAGTATTAAAATAATAAATGCATTAAAATATTTTCACATTTAGAAAAAGCTTTATAGTACAGTCAATCTGTCGAAAAAAATATCGTTTGAGTGAAAAAAAAACCTAAAGGGTAAGTCTTGTTTTTTCTGTTGCCAAATGACGTCAGTAAGCCACCTTGGCGATGGGCATGTTCAACTCGTAGGCGTTTTTTGAAAAACTCAAAAAAACCGTCAAAAATTTTTTGAAACGCATTTTTCTTGTTTTGTATGCATTTTAGAAACTTTTATTTTCGACCATAATTGTAGAGGGCGTTGAGTGCTACAATTTATGTCATTGTTGCAATCTCGTACAACAAAAAATGCGCATTGTAGGTGGCGCTAAAGTCTCAAAAAAGTGTTTTTTCACTTTTTCACCCTGAAAATATCATTTTAATGGAAAACTTTAAATGGCAGAGTTGTTTCGTACATAATTACCAATAACTTTTTATAAACAATTTTTTTGTATTACTTACCGTTTTCAAGTTATAAATTGCGCAGGTATGAAAAATCCAATAGAGCGGTTTTGGGCAGTTCACGTACACATTTGCAGTGCACATTTCAATGTACGTTTTACCATTTTTTGTTGTACGAGATTGCAACAATGACATAAATTGTAGTACTCAACGCCCTCTACAATTATGGTCAAAAAAAAGTTTCTAAAATGCATACAGAACTAGAAATATGCGTTTCAAAAAAATTTTGACGGTTTTTTCGAGTTTTTCAAAAAACGCCTACGAGTTGAACATGCCCATCGCCAAGGTGGCTTACTGACGTCATTTGGCAATAGAAAAAACAAGACTTACCCTTTAGGTTTTTTTTTCACCACTCAACCTACAGATTGACTGTACTATTAGCCAACTGCATAAATCAGATAAAAGTAGTTTTGACCAGTCTTTAATTAAATTGCTTTTGACTGATTTTTGCAGTTGAAAGTGGTTTTGAGTGTTTCAAGAGTTTTATTTTTTATATTTCCGTTCTTTCTGTTTCATTCTCAACAATAAATCAAACAACTAGATACGAGAAGTTACTGCCGCCATAGATTTTTGTGCATAAGCCAATGTTGACAATAAAAGCGCGAGCGCCGAGTGTAGGTATGCATAGGGATGACACGATACCATCTAGGTATCGATACTTTAACTCGATACTGTATCGATCATAAAGTATCGATGCCTACTTGGAATCGATTAATAAGTATATACTTACTTGTATCGATACATTTTGACAAACGATATTACAATTACAAATTCAGTCACAGTTTTAATTTAACTAAAACAAAATAACAGCTCACGCCACGCAATGAACGAACGATTGGTTGCCAACTGAGCAGTAGAAAAGATCCATCCCCGAAACAAAAAATGCAACTAGACACCTTACCAGAGGAAATAAACTGCCTATGAGTTTTTTGATACTTCTTAGTGAGTGGCCGACCGAGTACCGATACAAGTACTTACTTCACGATACTACTTATTACTCAGTTCTAAAGTATCGATGTCAAAAGTACTTGGTATCGAAAGAAAAGTATCGAGTAGTTACTTGTATTTACTCGTATCGTGTCATCCCTAGGTATGCAAAGTGAAGTGTACACACATGAAATTGCCTTCTGTTATGTCTATTTTGTGATTTTGGGCTGTTACATAATATATAGGTACCTACTTATATTATATTGTGATATCTTACACGCGATACATTATTATAAGCATGGAGTTATTATTGTTCGTTATTTAAAATTAATGAGTGCATTTTACTCGTTTATTAAAAGCACATCTCTTTATCATCATAATCAGCCTTTTAATGTCCCTACTGCTGAAGAACAGGCCTTTCCTATGGATAAAATAGGGAGATAGTGTCATGGTCCACCATGCAGGGCCAGTGTGGATTGGTGGATGCTAAACGCCTGCAGATGCAGCCGGACCAACGTCTTAACGTGCCTTTCAAAGCAAAAAATAGCTCGAGATATTTTTTGTTCACCCATCCAACTACCAGCCATTGTCATCCCTTTATATCGGGACATTATTGTTCGTTATATAAAATTAATGAGTGCCGTTTACTTGTTTCCAGGTGTTTTGATATACGAGATGCTTGTGGGGTACCCGCCTTTCTATGACGACAATCCATTTGGCATCTACGAGAAGATTCTCAACGGCCGCGTTGAGTGGCCTCGACACTTAGACCCCATCGCCAAAGACATCATCAAGAAACTCCTGGTGCAAGACCGGACCAAGAGGCTAGGGAACATGAAGGTCAGTTTAATTAGATAAATTGGGATGGGTATCTATACTAATATTATAAAGCTAAATTCAGGAACTATTGATCCGATTTGAAAAAATATTTTTGTGTCAGATAGTCCATTTACCGAGGAAGTCTATATAACATCACGCTGCAACCAATAGGAGCGGAGGTTTGATGAAAACCGTTGCAAATATGGGAAAAAATATTCCAGTTGAGAGCTTCCGTTGCATGCGCTGCGTAAATGGTTAAAGTTACACAAAAATTATGTATGACGGAATTGTTCCCCTTTAAAAGTTTTATATAAAAGTCAGCAACGGCATATGTCTACCTTTTAAGGGTGACTGACCCACTTTAACCTTTTTCCTCAGTTTAATGCGGGTTAAACTGCAAGGCACCTCTAGTAGTTTATTAGGCGGATTTGTTTATTTGCATTTTTTACTTAGTATAATGCAACTGTATCATGACTACAGTATTATGGCCATGAAATCGTATGTTGTGTTCCATTATCATTGTAATTATAAAAATTATCAACAACTGTTGCATAAGGAGGTTGACCTTGCTTGCAACTGACGGCACAAATGCTACACCCTGACCAGGTAGCACACGGGACTCGAACACGCACCCTTCGCTATCCGGGCGGATGCACTGACCATTATGCTACTGCGGTCCTGATGGCCGTGTCAAAATTTCTCTAGCCTTTCTTATGCTGCCTTGCAGCTGCCGTCCCGTCTGCTGTCTGGTCTGCGTGGAATTTTTCCTAGTAAAATTTTCTTTCGATTTAAACAATTAGAAGTTACATGCTGAAAAAATAAAAAAATATAACTAGAACTGCTATTTCTTCTTTCAAATTTTTAATACTTGTAAAGGTGTTCATTCGACATTGTGGGCTACCTACAATGCGAAAAGATGGCGCTGCCTTTCAGCATAGGAAAGGCTATAAAAAATTGTCACGGCCATCAGGGCCACGGTAGGATAATGGTCAGTGCATTCACCTGGATAGCGAAGGGTGCGTGCGGGTAAACATTTAGCCGTTACATGATTAAAATATATATATACATATATCATTCACATATCAGTAAATTGTACTGTTAAAAACCAACTAATAACCAACTGTCTGATATTTTGTAAAATGTTGTTGAGATAACAGGTACCTTGGTTGGATCGCAAATTTTGCAAAATGAATCGAGGCTTAGTTAGATTTTCCAATAAAACAGCGAAATATTTATGAAGTAAATTCATACTCATAATATATGAAAGAAAAACCACAACGTTCAACAAAAGAGAGCTTAAATAATAAAATTCAGTTTTTACGCTGGCAGAAAGATTGTAAAAATCTAAAGAACAGATACAAAAAAGAAAATATAACGACTCCTCATGCAATTTTTATACCCAGCATCGAGAGTGTAGACACAAAATAAATAGTGCAGAAGGCAATGAATCTACAAAGTGCGCTTGAGTAACGCACGCATACACACCGCTCACAGATACGATATCTCGGATCGCTTGGGACACGCGTCTGTGATCTTTTTTGTGCAAATATGGAGTAACAAAAAATTGTTATTATAAAACTGTGTAACGGCTGTTTTGTATGAATTTGAATATTAAACAGTGAGTCGTTTTTTTCAATTTGTACATAATATAACAATAATATTAAAATTGAAATACTGCACTTATTTAATTCGTTTTTTCCATTCTTGCTGTTAAATTTTAACAAAAATGACAAAAACCTGGATACGTGCGTGTGCCACTACCACGATTTTTTTGTGCACAAGCCAATGTTGACCATCCTATCCTGACCGCCGAGCGTAGGTATGAAAATTGAAGTACTTAAAACATGAGATTGCCTTCTGTACATTGTATTTTGTTTTGTAGATAAAACTTGCATAGTGACCAACATGTTTTTTTAAACGCTTATACTTTTGATATCTCTTTATTCCTTCGCTGCGGATAGTTTATACAGGGGGCACGAAGTGACCTCGTGCGTGATGATCTCGCAACCGTTTATTCCCGGTTAATAAGCCAAAAACTGAACGTGAATATTTAAAAGCGTAAGTATATTTGTAAAAGCGTATCAACATGTTAGGACACTGACACAATAATATTTGAACGTGTAACATATCATTTAAATCATTTCATAACATCAACTGGTACCGGGTAAAATTGGAACTGTTTAATGTACTGAAATAAGATAAGCGCGAGCGGCGGAGACAGCGTATGCGCGCGCCTTTTAAAATAGGCGGCCTTGTGCTTGACTCGCCTGTAGGTTTATTGCCTTTAGTCACTACACGTTCTAATTGGAATTGTTGGAACGCTATTTGATCATTTCCTTTTTTGACAATCATGTTCTTATTTCAAATCTTTATTGAGTTGCTATGTGACCAAAAATCACTCCCCCGTAATTATTTTGTACCACATTATTTAAGTATTCACATATTTGGTACTTATCCATTTCCGTCTTTCTTTTCGAAAATAATTTTTAACTGATCTAAATATCGGTATATTTATCAATATCGAATTATCTTAATAGATCAATGTTAATTAATGTAATTATGCAAACTTCTCAAATCGATATTATAAATAAAAATAACAGTGAATAAAAAATCATACATATTCAATGGAGAAAGATCAAATTTATAAGAAGCAAAACGAGTGAGCATAAATTATATTCTTTTAATAAAAAAGATGTTATAAAAAAAGTTTATATTGCTTTCTTGTTACGCTAACAACCAGTCATGTTTAAAAAGCTTTACGTGTTAGGTATGTATCATGCGCAAGATTATATAAGCTCATGTGTTGTGGAAGATTGACTTTTGATTATAGCACATTTCTACGCGATTAATGCCCAAAAAATAGTTTATTTAGCTCTTGTTCTTGGCGTGTTTCCAATGTATTCCACCATAGTTTCAAATATCGTACTTGACATAATGTATACAAGAGCATTCTGAATTAAAAATCTGAACAGTTTTATCTTAGTAACTAACGTCATGTAGTGAGAGTGTACAATTTTGTTTTAAGTTTATTGTTGCGAAAAGTCTCGCGGAATAATATTTGTACACACTTCGCTTTCAAATAACTGATTATTGTAACTAAAAATATAAGTATAAATATATAAATTATAAATATTTTCTATGTAGACATAAGCATAAAGGATATAAATAATGATGAATTTAATCCAACAATTTTATCTACATAAGATGAATCATATTGAGTTATCGGAGTCATCATACAATCATGATTTATTATTTTATTTAAATCAAAGTGTGTCTGCTAATAATGTTAGATTTTTAACTGCAAATATTATATCCGTTTGTTGTTTTTTTCCGTAATATTTTTCTTTAACCAGCTTATTTTATGCCCTGACTGCTAGTGTACAGGTCATTACTACCTATGTATGATCCAATAGATTTTGGAGGAACTCGAGATAACTCTGACAAACCTTTACGAAGGATGCTTAACTTTAATAAGGGCAGACTGAACCACGGTGAAGCTCCTTATTTAAAGATTTCCTGTATACAGCGTAACATCATTCCAATATAATGAAGGAGTTCTGATTGCAGTTTATTATAAACTAGGTAACCTAACCACGAGAAGACTCGGATAATATATTTTTAATCTGTAGTTTCTAGTGGGAGTGTGTTTTCTCCCCTGCTTTTTGCAGTGTGTCGCTGTGTTTAGAAAGCCATCAGTCAGGTGTCTGCGGCGACTTCAAACAGCCGTTCTCTACTGACTTATGGCGCGTCGAGTCTGCCATGCAGGACGTTCTCAGATCAATTAAATCTGAATTCCGTTTTTAAATTCTAAAGCGTAGCACTTTTCTTTATAAGAGTACGCAATGTGAACGATTGGTTCTATGTTTAAATATAGATCTAGAAATAGGTTTACTTCGTTATTTATATTGGCACTCAAATGGTTTTACAATATCTACGATATAAAAGAAACCTAATCAGAAGAAAAGACCAAATACAGATCTAGAAATAGGTTTACTTCGTTTTTTATATTGGCACTCAAATGGTTCGACAATATCTACTATATCAAAGAAACCTTATCGGAAGAAAATTTTACATTTTTTAAATTTAATTTTATTAAACAATTCCACTCGGTCCAGGTTTCAGACGGGGAAAGAAGGAAAAAGGGAAGAAGAAAGGATTGAGAATAAAACAGGATGCCTAAAAATATAAATATAATTAACAGAGCTTCAATGTAGATCACGAAACGAAGCGGACGAATAAGCATGTCAGCCATTAGACTCTGACATTTCCTTCAATTATGTTCACAAATATAAGTAGTGTTCCAGATTTCGAAATGTGTTTCATTAAACGTGTCTATAATAAACAAGTAACTGAAATCCAATTCCTATATTTATTTGATGTTCATTATTTCTTAATCTATTATCAAAATGAGGAAATCACGTTTCGAGAATAAAACGTTACTAAAATAAAACCCGGCAGCAATAAATCGTGATAGTTGCAAACTGCCTTAAGTATCAATTTGCCAAAATCGGACTTGATAAATAACTATCACAGAACTCAGGTAGACGTTACACCCCAGACGAGTGCTCCAATTCCATAACTGGTTCCAATTTAATTATGTAATAACTAAACCAGTCTATGAGGTATTATTATGGATTCTGATTACCCAATATCAGAATGTCATTTTTATACTTTTTTACTGCTGCTTCATATAAAAGACATTTTTTCTAGACACATTTGTCTTTGTATCATATTGTTACTTTGTCATTATAATTTGCTGGACTCTATCCCAATGTTATCTGAAATGGAGGTTGAAACTGCTTGACAGTATTTTTTAATTAAGGCTATTATTAACGTATCTAAATATAAATTCCTTTTTATTTGTTCCAAAATAAATCATTATTATCTACATTCCTTTCGCTACTTAAGTATGAAAACTATTCTATGTTTAAGGTCAACAAAGAATGGTAAAGACTATTGCCAACCTTATATAATCACTCTAAGTAATATTCGTTTAACTTCTACCAAAAACATTCCAGCGGAAATAAGTCATGATTTTATTGAGATAAATATAGGTATTTTACATATTTCCCAGATTTGATAAAAGAAAAACCCCGAAACAAACAAAACGCTTACTCATGTATCTGAAATTGTTGCGCTCTTAAGATTAGTTCAAGATTAACAAGCCAGTTTGATACGGCTAATAATAGAATGATTTTGTTATAATGGAATGGAATGTAGTTTCCAACATCTAGATGGAATACTCATAGTTAATGTGAATCAAAACAATTATAGAATAGGTTTAAATTATATAAGGTAGGGAACAAACTGTTTGTATTTACTTATAATAATAAGTCATCGTACCATTGCTTTTTAGAAGAGTCGTCGTTAATATAGCCGCTTAACAGCCTTTCCTTAATTGAATATAATGTGCAGAACTATATAATTGAATTGATGGATAAAAACGATCTTATATGTTTGGTGCATATTCTGCTGAAATGCAATAGCATCGGCTTACCAAAACTTTTTTTTGCAAACTGTTTTTTTTTGCATTATTATCTAGTAAAAGTCATATAAGCAATTTTTTCTCCTTAATAAAAATATATCTCTTACTGTGGACGTGATATTGGAAAGCAACGTGCTTTATTCATGGCCACAACTTTTGTTTATAATGAGATCGCGGGATCCAATCTGGCATCATGTGTGAAAAAGGGCTCCAGAGAGGTTTTACGAGTACAACGATATAAGATTGGTCTCGGTTTAAAGGAGCAAACTTACGATGTGTTTATGTATGTATCACAGAGTTAATATTTGATATGTATGTATAGATTATGAGCATAGTAAATTTATAGGTCCATGGAACAGCATATCTTATATCGTGTGTGTGTAATAATAATATTGCTCTAAATTCGCCCACTCAAAGTCACATTAAAGTCGATCAGGGCATTGTTGTGAACGTGATTTATCCGTATTTTTAAAAATAAAAAAAATATGTTGGCCTATTAATCTACTCTCTATTCCGACCGTCTGTTTATTATTAGTAACATTCTCGATTCTTTGTTGCAGTGCGGCTCTGAGGACGTAAAGAGGCACAGATGGTTCAAACATATAGACTGGGCGGACGTTTTCATGAAAAAGTTACAGGTTGGTACTAATGACGTAAATGTAATATTTCTGCATTAGAAAACTGTTTTCAGACAGAATCAAATAAAGCTTAAGTGCTAGTAAGATTCTAGGCTGCGAAAAAGTTAAGGTTTTTTATTTTATGGTTCTGTAGTAATTTCTAGGTTTAAAATTTTGTTCATGGCAACATTTTCAAAATCGCATTCTATCTAGAATGCATATATATAACTTTTTTAGAGGATAAGCACTTTGTACCACTATCTACCTATTTTGCCTAATTAAGTAGGTATAAAATAAAAAAATAGGGTATCTTTATTCTAAAAAAAACTCGACTGAATAAGTTTTTGATTAGCTAATAAGTTTGAGATCACTTATCTGCTACCATCAGGTGTGTTAGTGCCAATGAAATATCAACGTTTTGGTTAAAATACCAATGTTCCTGCCTTATTCATCTTATCTCTCTCTCTTTTCTACTAACGATTTGGCAGCGTAACGTTCATACACACATATGTGTTACTTTGGCTCCGTTCAGACTAGATCACTATCAATAGATGGATTACAGTTGTTCCCGTCGTTTAAACATATTACCTACACTTTGTAGTGGTCTCCAAATACGTATCTATTATTAGATTCTGCCCGCAATTACGTTCTTGTGCATTATTTAAAAAACTTTCAAGTAGCATACATACAATTTAACAGAAAAAGCAATAGTATAATTAGGCATGTTAATCTTGCTCCAGGAGGCCTACTCTAATTCAACGAAAAACGAAATTTTGATCGAAGCTTCACATGTTTCTTACTATGTTTCTTTTTCGTGTCTAATTATGATAATATTCGTTCACCCTAGAATATATTGAGGTTTAGATTCTCTAAGTCTACTCAACGAAAAATTTAATTTGATAGTTTATAGATCAAATTAAGTATAACATGAAATTGACGAAAGTATCGTTTGAACTTCGTTACCAAAAGTTTAATTCAAGGAAAGAGAGTAGATCTCGTGGTCTGGCTTGAAAGTAGAAGAAAATATACTGAATACTTCATCCAGCTCCTAAAGCGTGATAAGAGATGTGGAGCATAATTTTTTTCAGCTCGAATGATATCGTTGAATTTAAATGATAGATGACAGATCGTATCTCTGGGGAAATACCTCCACCTTACAGGTGACAGTAAAATAACACTACCTTTTGGTGGTATTGTTTCTGTTGATGAGTGAGGTTCCACGGTTCCACGGGGTAGGGGATTGGCTCAGGGAAAGCAATGGTGCTAGTGATATTTTTGGTATCGCAAGCGTCTATAGGCTACGGTGGTTAAATCCCCAGATGGGCGCTCCAATCCCAGGCGGAAAGTTCGCTATGCCCTAACTCTCTTTACCTAATCTTAGTTTCTTTTTGATTTACAGCCACCGATTATCCCAACAGTATCATACGAGGGGGACACGTCCAACTTCGACGAGTACCCCGAGACGGACTGGAAAGCGGTACGCTCGTTGGATCCTGACGAACTGAAGTTGTTCGCTAACTTCTGATTCACCATAGCACACGAGTGGGCACAACTAATTATTGTACAGTTAGCTTAAGGGCGCTTTCAATTTAGATGTTTAGGTTTAGATATATTTGCAGCGTTGGACTGTCGCTGGTGTTACTTGTGAAGTTTTCATACCATTGATGTAATCAAGCGAGAGTACCAATTTCGTTTCCAGCAAGATATTACGCAAGCCAATCAAAAAATATATACCATCTGATCTAAATTTGTTTGTTGTTTCTGATTATCATAGTAACGCAAACGACGATAATTTGGGATAAAGTATGAAAAATTAAGTGAAACAAGCTCAAGTCCAACTCGAAACTTCTTAATCGAAAGCGTCCTAAATATTATACAACTGTTTATCAGCGACATCGTGGTGTAAATAATCATGGTATACGGTCAGCAGCATGTCGTCTGTAACACTTGCAATGTTCCTGAAATGTTCGGTGTTGATTCTGTGTTATGCTTGAAATGTTGTGAATAATACCGGCACTTCAAATGGTTATTCGTATTTGCTATTTGTAAACTTACACATTCATTCCCTATAGAGCATGACAAGGATAAACTGTTGTCAAAATGACGAATAACAAACACGAATAGTCACGTGAAGAGAGAGTATACGACGCGGGCGTCTTGTTGTACACGATAGATGTAATAAAAGGCTAATGACGAAGCAGTATGCGATAACTTTTTTTTAATTAACTACTCTGTTACTTGGGCATTTGTTACAGTTCTTTTACATACAAACCTATGACATTTACACGTTTTAAGAGACTGTTTTGTTTGATTGTTTATACTTTGGGAAACAGACACCGTATGATTCACTCTGATGGAATAATCCCTCGTACTTATTTTTTGCAATCATGTTTGTTTTCATTATTAGAGTTTACGTTATAGAAGCACCGTTCAATAGGGAAGATGCAATATTTTTATTTTTGTTTTCATTTTAAAGAATTCCATGTAGAATAAACCACAGATATATTAAAAAATTAAAACATTGTGATTTATCGGAAAAAATGCGGTTTTAAATTGACAATTTAAATTTTCGCGCGCAAACGAACCTATGGATGCGATGACGTCACTCCTGTCTGTCACTGATCGTAATTGTTCGTTGCTGGCTTTAAATTTTCATACTTTTGCGTATTCTTTCGACTTTCGAAATATTTTTTTGAAAAATTTAAAATGTACTATCCATCAACATCATGTGATCATAACAATACCACTAATATTCCGAAAAAAAGCCGTGTTGACTCATGTTTTGTGCCAATCTACTTCAACAAAGTTCCCAAATAAATTGTTTTTGACTGGAACTTCTGACCCAAAACTGAAAAAAAGTGGTTTCAGGCTGCGAAGAGAAATGACAATTATTCTCCAAAGACCATTATGCTGAGAAGATAGATCACTTTGACGTAAGTCGGAGTCTGCTTTGATAAACGCAACTTTCATTTTTATTAAATGTAAAAAAACGCAATAAATATTCCCATAAAATAATATTTACTTTAACAACCATAACCTCAAAGAAGTTGTCATAACAGGAGTGACGTCACTAAACGCTGATTGGTGTTATAAAATACGTTCCGTTTCAAGTATTTTTAATTCGTAATAATTGTTAAAAAACAACATTATGTAAAATAAAAACGTTGCAGTGGCATTTCTTTTATATTTTTTTAACATTTTAATCATAAAATTTTCATAAATATTATATATGCATCTTCCCTATTTCATGTATTATTACGAGAGCTATTAATACCTACTAAAATGATTTTTAAATGTCAAAGAAAATATTTTTTTTACCAAATAAATTAGTTTTATTTAATTTATCGTAAGACATCAACATATTTTTTTAAAATAATTATTCCAATGCTTCCTAGTGCAATTACTACGTAGGTACTTGTAAGGGATAGATTAAGTGCTAATTATAAGTATTGTTATTTAGTAGATTTGTGATTTATTAATTTATAACGTTAACTATTATTGAGTTTCGTTTGTTTGTATATTTAAGAGATATCCAGGAAGATGATTGTTTGTGAATTTATAATTTGAAAAGTTTATTTAATATTTGACTTAATAATTGATAATTTCAGGAATAAATAACAACAACATAGCACATTATCTTACTCTCACAATTTGTGAAAATATGTAAATAAATGATAGGATTTGCTCTTTTCAACGATTTTTGTGTACAATCTTACTTATTTCTTACAGTCAAATGGGGCATAATTAGTTAGCTCTGATCTTAACATTTATCAATAATTCAGTAAGTACCACTTATTCACAGGTTACTATTGTTTTGTTACATTTTATTTGGTTATGTGTGTGACGTCAAAATTATAGCAAATGTTGACAAAGCACTGTTCAAAACTTAACTCCTATTACTTATTGGTTTTTGTATGCAGTAACTGTTGATTTATATCAATTTCATAAAATAGCAGCTAACATAATCAGAAGTTCTGTTCAAATTATGTTAAAGTTTTTGTTCAACCAGTTGTATATTTTGAATATATTTTCTTTCCAATGACTCTGACAAAGCTTTTAAAGGCGATTATTTTCATATGCCACCTTTATAGTTATTATGCCGGCACTTCACTTGGCTATTCATATTTGCCAATAAACGAAACAAAAGTCTGTCCTTATCTTGTCTTATAAGGAATGAAAAGGATGTTATGATAACAGCATTACAAGTATAAATTAAACAATTCAATGTTGTCTATGTGAAAACTTTTTGTTGAAATTGTAGAAAGGCGAAACCTATAATAAATATTTTATAAATGTTACAATTTAAAGTTAAAATTATTATAAAAAAAATTGTCTCAAATGTTTAACTGATAGAACATATTGGAACACAGGTAATCAGAAATACGACGATGACCATCAAAGCTGTCATTTAATTTATATTTTTTTACTAAAGTAATATTTGTCAATGCCTTTGCAAAAGCAAAATCCTACTCATATTATTAATGTGATAGTTTGTATGTTTGTGACTCAATCACGTAAAAAGAACCGCTGAACGGATTTTAATGCTACTTTTTGTCCCGGGAAAGTGTTAGGTTTACAAAGTTGATTAAAAATACTAGATTCAAAAAATCCTTAATTATTGAGACGGATGGCTATTGAGATGTATTTGATTTTTTAGACAACGAAAATATAATTTTCTCTAGATCCGTTCAATTTTAAGGTTGGAATTATTCATAGACGGTCTTACTATATAAAAGTTGGATACGGTTTCATACCTTGTTAAAGAAAATTTTGTATGACATTTTTTAAACTCGTGTTGAACGGATATTTAACTTTTTGCGGTAATAAGGAGTTTCTAAATATCTAATTTTGTACCTACTTATAAAATAAATTTTTATGTTTAGATTTGTATTTATAGTGAATGGAAGATAGTTTGATTTAGTCAGCCATATTATAACTTCTGTGATTTTATTAGTCTCTGTGTGTAATATTAAAATTTTAATTCGCAAAATTGGTAAATGTTATTATTCTGAATTGTATAAACGTAAATGGATTTTATTGCAAACAAAGGGTTGTGTAAAATATAAAAACATGAAATGAACTGTAATAAATTACACGGAAATAAATGTGTTGTTAAATATACCCTGTTTTATTGAACTTGGTAGAGTGCCCATTTAACTTTAATTTTTTGGGTGAGTATTTAGCAGAACAATACAGAAAAATCTAAATATCAGTTTCACATTTTTTAAAATCAGTATCTAAATAATAACAACATCGAGTATAGAGCGTTGAAAAGAATAAGGAAGTTTAATAGTTATTTGTTCAACTAGAGAGGAAAGTTGGTTTTCCAAGCGAGTGCTAATTTTGAATCCCGAGTAAGCGAAGGATTCTAAGGTACGAGATGGAAATAACTTTTCTTTCTCGTGACACATACAACTTTTCATCTTAGCAGCGAGAACATTATTAGAGATAAAAAGATACAATATGAATAAAAATTAAACCACATATATTTGCAAACAATAAGTATCTACTAAAATTTAAAATTGCAGTTATTAAAAGTTATATTTTGAAATTTTATAGTTTTATAAGGAAGTGATACCGTGGAGTTTGCGATTTGAGTTTGACTCGAGTTCGTTTCTATTTCTTTATTAGACTGTGACGAGACAATACTATTAGAAAACGTTGGCGACTCGGTGCGGCTTCTTACCGAATTTTCAATAATATTTGTGTCTTTGGAAGTTTATGCTTTGTATTATGCGTTTACAGGTTTTAGACTTATTTTCGATCGAATCTTCAATATATCCTTCCGCGACCGTGCTTGACTTCCAGCCGCCATGACGTTTTAATGTTGTGAGGTTGGCTCCTGAATCAGCCAAAAGCATGGCCGAAGTTCGCCTAAAGCAATGTCCAGTGTAAAGGTGAGGCTCTTGTAATTTTAAAAAAGTGGCTGTTTGTTGTGGTGTCCCGCCTATTTTATTGATTCCCATAGGCTGTCTTGAACACTTGTCATTACGATACTGCAAGAAAAATCGATCTGTTTTCGTATTATCAGGTCGTAATGCCTTATATTTCTCGACAATTTTCACATATTCGTCGCGAATAACAAAGGACCTGTCAATGTTTGTCTTTGTGTTCGGTAGGTAACTTACTTTTGCAGCGAGAAAATTGCAGTCCGGAGCTTCAATAAGAAATTTTTCAATATTAGAGATTGAAAAAATTATGCACTATTTAGATTTGTGTCCTACTGACTTTCTTTTCAAAAATGCAATAAGTTTGGGATAAGTTTCAATATGAACATTATGTTTTGTCTTTATTGTAGCTTTCAACATCGAATAAATACTCCACATTGTAGGTGATTGCTTCGTTTGTGATAATTCTATGAAGTACGACAATAATACATTCTTTGAGAAAGTGTTCGCGCCCTTTTCAAGTCTCCATTTATTGAAAACATCATAGGTTTTCAGATATCTATCACATGATTTCTGAGGAAGAAAACTGAATTCAGCATTCAACACTTGTTGTTTTAATTCTTCAGGTGTTAAATTGCTGTTTTCGTCACTAGACTCACTCATAATTTATGAATTTGTGATATGCAACACTAATTGTAAGTAGTTACTTACCGAAAAACAAAAGAAGAAGAAAT